ATATTCTAAGTATAGGAATCCAAATTATATAAATAAGTAGAAATAATTATTGCTTTAAGCTTATTTATTTCTTTAGCTAGTGATAGAGCCAGATCTTCTTCCTCCTCTGCTCCTAGTGCTCAACAAGGCTAGAATTTTGGGATCTCTCTGTGAGTAATAATATATAATGCTTTACCAAATTCATGAACGCATAATTTATTTTTAAATCTTGCTTTTACTTACTTTCAAGTAATTAAAAATATATATACCTTATATAAATAGATGGATGTGCATTGATTGATGTTGTGAATAATTTACTTGGTATAATGATACGTGATTGTTGTGTGGGAGTTGGGACGATGTGAATCACCTAGGTTGAGAGCACGGGCATGGTGAGAATGCCGACAGTGGGCCGTAAGCAGTGGAAGTGGTGCCCCCTTTGTGTACCCCGGATTATAATATTCATCATGGGAAAATGTTTTATGAAAAATATTTATATTTGACTTTGTTTTGCTCGAACAGGGGTGGGCTCCTTGATTACAAAAGTTATAGGACCATGGGATTATATTGTTAACATTAAAGCATGCTCGGTGGTGAGCGTGGTCTTGGTAAGGTGATTCACTGACTAACGACCACTTGATGTGCATTATAGTTGCTATTATTTGTGGGTGCTATGATTGACATTGTATGACTGATGAATGCTCAATTAGAAGAGTCTAGGGTCATTTCTTTTGATTGCCTGGGTTTGGTATTATGTATTATTATTAACTAAGTTTTATACTCATTCCAGTTGTATCTAAATTTTTCAAGAAGAAGCTCCTTGTCCTCTTTTGAGGAATAGCTCTGTTCCCCTTCATCAATACAGCCTTAATGTAAATTTTAACTGCTTTTGAACTTCATTTTGTATCAAAATTCTGTTTGTAAATTAAGTAATCCAACTTTCGCAGTTACTTAGGACTAACTAGGTATGAATGGGGCAGTTAGCCACTCGAATATTTTTGTAATAAACTTAAAATCTTTGTTGGTTCTTATGAATGAACAAGTCCATATGTTATGATAAAGTGGTTTGATGGTGCCATGAATGGGCCCGATTATGATTATTGATTATTTACATGCTACGGGCCGGAGATAATATTTGTATTTATTTTACTATTACTCTTGGAATTTATATGCATCATGGTGCTTGTATAGTTTATTAAGAAATATGGATTTGGCTTTATAAGATGTATGATTATAAAATATATGGGCCTTTAAAATGCTATTGATATACGAACAGGTGAATTCTTAATTGGACCTAGAATTTGGACTTAGTAATTCTCAGGCTTACTACGGGTCTCAGTGGCCTTATGCTTACCTAGATCCTAGTGCTGATCCAACCTATGGAAACGGGTCGTGACAATTTACCTCAAAATCGAAGGTTCTTGTGTTTGTTTCAACACCAACTTGCAGTGGTTTCCACACCAATCACTTCGAATCAAGAAAAAAAATCCCATTTTTTGGAAAAATGCTTCAATATATAAACTAGTGATTAAGAGTATTTTTTTAGTGTCAAGTTTACATTTGGGAGAAAATGAGACTTCCAGTTTCTCTCCATTGCAATCCCATAATGGTTCACGTCGCCCAAAGGGTATTTTAGTCTTTTTATATGATTTCAACATCTAAAACTGTCACGACCCGAAATCATGGGCCAGACCGGCACTAGGGCCCAGGTAAGCTAAAAGCCCCCGAGGCCCGTAGTAAGCTAAACTATAAAATCCATACACGCTAAGCAAAATCCTAGGAGTAGTAAGCCCATATTAATTCATATATGTGTGTGTGTGTATATATATATATATCAAGTAATTACATGATCCTAGCCCAATCTCAAATATCTCAAATAAAACATAGCAGGCCTATTAGGAATACACCTCGTTCGTAATATGGGCTACTGATTCATATGTATCTTAGATAAATAATTAGGACATTCATAGATTAGCATACCTATTTTAATAAAAGATTAGAGATACATAAATCCTACAACTGTGGAGTTCAATAATAGTTAAAAATAGTGACGTTCTTGCATATAACAATACATAAATTAGTTAATCACAGAAATTAGAAATTTACTTTTAATGCACTGCGAAGAAGATTGTAGAGCTTTAGTTGGATCGATATGGATTCTACTTCTTGACAAGTTAAATAAAAAAAGAGAGAGTTTTGCAACTTAGTGAATAATAATAAATGATACGGATTAAGAGAGCAAGATGAAGGATCCTCTAGCTCTACCCGCGGGGCCAATCACAAGAGCTCGTGCAACCAAGCTACGAGCAGCATTGAATGCATTTGCTCAAGAACAATCACAAGAGCTCGCTGCAACCAAGCTACGAGCCAGCATTGAATGATTTGCTAAGAACAAATCAACCTTTGGAGGCTGTTCGAAAGATCATAATTATACAGAGATGTTGAGATTTGAAACTTGAAGAAAGCACAAAAGCTTGTTTATGGTGCTTTGAGGCGTGCAACAGAGGCTGCCCGTTGATGCATTCTAACATGGTTCTATAAACTTAGGCAAATTTAGGAGGATGTTTATTTTTATTATGAGTTAAAGTATGGGCTGTCTAGGGCCTCTTTGGCCCATTTGCTGTTCCTGTTTTTGTTTTAAATTCCTTTATAGTGGACTTATTATTAGAGTAAGGCTTGATTGGGTTTAATTTTCCAGAGTTGGGGCAGCCCGAGATTCGTTTATGTTTAAGTCAGACTTGTTTTAATTAGTTAGCTTTGGGCTTTGTATTTAATTGCCATTTGGGCCACCATTAGGTTTAGGCCTGGGACTAGCTTTAAGTGTAATAGCTATTAGGTTTACAGCTCTTAGGTATTTATATTACTTTGTAAGGGCTGCACGCAGCCAACATCAAAAATTAATCAAAAAAAACGTTTGTGTTCTTTACTTTGTTCTTCAGAACAGACCGCGTTCTTTCATCGTTGTATGAAATAGGAACCAAAAATTATCGCCTTAGTAATGAAGATGTGGAGTTCTACAAGATTAATTGCCGCCAAGAATTTCCAGAGTTGTTTTCAGAGTACTCTGAAGGTAAGTTTCTGATTCTTGTTTCTGATTCCTTGTTTTTCTCTCTTCAAGAGTACTTGGGGTTGTTTAAAGGGATTGCAAGTACTTCTCCATGCATTGGGCAATACTTTCCGGCTAGATTTTTCCTTGTTGATTTGCAAGAGTATTGTTATTAGCTTAGGTCACTTGTTAATTAGCTAGGGTCGTATTATCTAGTATCAGAGCACTGTGGTTGTGGATTTCAATCTATCCTAGGGTTAGGGACTTAAAAAAAAAAAAAGGAAAAGAAAAAGGAGTTTTTGTGAGAATTTAGCTGCAAATTCGCATTGAAAAAAAAAAAAATTTTGTCATTCGTTTCTTACTTGAGAACTATATGCAAGTCAACTATATGCTTATATTAAGCACTTGCGAATTGATTTGTGACAACCCAAAATTGTGCACTGAAGTGAATTGATATTCTAGCATTGCTATAGTTACATTCTGCTCTTGGGAAATTTTCTTGAATACTAGCTTTGATAATTAGATTTATTAGGTCCATAGTTAATTTTGCATTGTAATGAATTAACTTCATTCATCTTGTCCAGAATTGTCTAGTTGTTGATTCTTGTATCTTGCTATTTGTTTGTGTGGAACAATTAGAGCTGTAGTAGTTAGTGGAACAATTAGAGCTGTAGTAGTTAGGAAATTTTGGATTTTGCACATTCAGGGAGAAGCACACCCGTGCTCGCCTCTAGAATTCCAGGCGATTCTACAGGCTGGAGAAGCACGCCTGTGCTACCTCTATAATTAGCCCGTGCTAGCCTCTGGAAGTCTAAGCACGCCCGTGCACGCTTCTGGAAGTCCAAAACCTACCCGTGCCGTTCCAGCACGCCCGTGCTTTGCCTCTTATCATTGCTAAAATGTTATTTGCTTGTTCCTACACTTTAGTTTATTAAATTCTAGCAATACACCTTTCTTATTCTTGTATTGCCATTCAAAACGTTGTGATTTCTTGTTAGGCATTCGTTGATTATATTCTTTTGCTTTCCTAACTTTCTCTTGACTTTTGTAGCCAACTTTGGATTCTGAAGTGCAATTATTCAAGTGTAAAAGAGTGGTTGGTAAAAGGCTGGAGTGAAACCCATATATAGAGAAAAGCCAAATAAAGAGAGAAACACGAGAGGGAGTGATAAACTAACCATTTCCTTTAGACTTGTGTTTGCTATTTTATTTCAGGATGTTTGATTCATCTAGAGGTAAGAATGACAGCCCTCTCAAGGTTGAGGACCCAAAACTACAAGCCTTTCTAGTTGCTTTCTCTAGAGAGATAGGGTGAATCACTAGGCTTATGGAGAGCTTTAATGACAGACTAGAACTTCAAGAACAAAGACAGAAAGACATGACCCTAATGCCACAAGGAGGGGTGCAACCACTTCCAAAGAGCACTCTAGACAACCTTGGCATGAAGAGTATGAAGAAAAGGATGATGAATGGCATAGAGAGCCCAATAGAAGCCTATGTGGGCAAGAGGAGGTAGAAATAAACAGAGGAAAGAGGGGATTGGTAGAGGCCTGTTTTCGCACCGGCCCCGAGCGACCCGAAAAACGTTCACTTTTTTGTGTTTCGGTTGGAAAAAAGTGATCTTTAGTTTTGGAGCAAGCGGTGACAAAACATTTTTGGAACGATGCCGATAAATCGGTCTTATAAAACATCTTTTGATCGCCACCCCATTTTTTGGCAATGGACCAGTTTCCAATTTTATTTTATAAAAAGAACTCCATTTAAACCCAATTTTATTTAAAGGCCAAAAACTATTTAGAAACTGGTCAGGCGCATCAAGTGATTTTGGGTAAGGAATTGGGGTACATCGGGCCCGTTGAAGCCGACGCCTTGGAAAAACCGGCCTCTTTTAACCTACAATTTTACTATTATTTTAGTTAGAAAAGCCAAATTATTTATTACTTAAACCCAACCCGAAATAAATCAAAACGAGTGCCTATGTGGAAAATCGCATTAAAACAAGACGATGATCAGAAACTCGTTCTCCAACATTTGCGAGTTGATCAGCCAACACTTTGAGACGCCGTGTATAAGTTTTAGCATCCGAAAAATCACGGTGATGAGTATTGGCAAACTCAGTCTCCAAATGAATGGCACGAGCAGTTTTGTTATCCTGAAATAAATCAGCCAGATGAGTCCACGCATCCAAGGCAGTGTCATCAGAGCTTATAATATTATTTAGAAGATCATTGGATATCCTACTATATATCCATTGTCGAACAATATTATCAATTCGACTCCAAGTGGCTTGCTCCTCTACAGATCGAACAATCGGAGTTGTAACCGGTGTAATGTGATCATGGGTGAGGGTAGCTTTGGTATGAATAGTGAAGAGTGTTGCCCAATTGCTGTATTGAGCGGACTCATAAACAAGAGTTAGAGGAACGGCTGTTTTGATATTGGTAATAGTGGTGGCTGGATGCACCTTGTCAGCCATTGAAAGGAAAGAAAATAGTAAGAAAGAAAGCAGGGAAAGAAGAAGAAGGAGAAAGAAGGGTATCACCTAAAGCTCTGATACCATGAAAGTAATTATGTTTTCCATCCTTTATTCATTAAGCAAATACATATTTATAGGCTATATAATCTTATAACTAATACTATAAATCAGCAATACAATCGCAAATAATCATAACATAATATCTTAGTCAATATTTACATATTGACTATCATTAACGTACCGTGTTGAATTTATCCATCCTAAGGAGAACAATCAGTTATTTTCGTTGAAAGATGAAAACTATTTTGGTGTTTCCATTAGCAAATATGGTTACGTTTAACACAAGCACACATGCATAAGTGATGATGGACTGCATTGTCTCTTAACTTTATATTTGTTTTAGCATTTATCAATTTCTAGTCTTTTTCAGTCTTGGCAGTAATGTTTTCCTTGGTGGACTTGGACTCTCGACCCAAATTAAGATCAATATCATTCTTTCTAGCTTAGACTTAAAACATAAATTTTCAAAATTTAATTACCTAATTAATTAGGGGTTGTGTGGGTGTATTTATTTATATGAAATTTATTATTTATATTTTAACAAAATAACAAGTTATTATATTGTGTACAATAAATATAATTAGTGTCTTTATTAAATTATTATATCAAGGGCATTTTAGAAAATAAAGACAAATAAATTTTCATTTGAGAATTTATTCCAAACATGATTTTGCAGAATTCAATTAAATGCCTTTTTTTTAAAAAAATTTGCATACCAAACATGATAAATTCATTTAAAATGAATTCTGCAACCATAATTCATTTGCTCCAAACGGAGTATTAGAAATTGAGTGAGTTTTTAATGAAACGATAAACATTCTATTGTCAAACATTTCATAGGGATTACTTAAAATTTTTTTGATAATCATACCCATTATTTTATTCCTCCAAATTCAGCTAATTAAACAACTAATGTCATTTTTTGTTCTTTTAAATTAAATAACTATTTTTACTGAACATTTTTAATATAAACTGCTATATAAAGAGCTAGCAGCTAAAAGCTGATAGCTAACAACTATTACAATAGTTAATATTGTCGAATAGTTAATATATATAAGGATCGAAACACTCATTTGGGTTAGATTCATGAAATTATTTTGTGGGTTGCCATTTAAATTTTATTATGAGGTAAACTTAAGAAAACCTTATTTGACTCCATTTTAAGAAAAAAAACAAATACAATAATCAATGAAACCAAGGAGAACTAAGGGACTAAATTTTTTCGTTTAATGATCAGTTATTTGGCCTTAATTAATATTCAATCCAATGAAAATAGAATTTAAGATGAAGAGATGATATTTATCAAAGCAACAAAGAAAGCAATTAAATAAAACCCTAAACTGTAATATCCTCTCAACTTTGTAGTTCCTGCTATTCTAGCTTTTTCGATGAATTCGGTTATCCGAATGAAAGGAAAACTTAGAATAATGGGAAACACTATATATTGAGAATGTGAATATTAATTAAATAGTAATTAATGTGATTACAAATCAATTTGAAAGATTAAAGGAAATCAAAAATAAGTTAAAGAGGAATGACTTCTTGGTAAAGCACGATTCTACCCGAAAAGCCCGAAAAAAAAACGGTAAGTTCAGTATGACCTTTCTTAAGTGGGGTTTAGAATATTAAATACACTTGGTTGATGCCTACTAAGACTAAAGTGAAGTGATTAAAAAGATTAGAGTGCCAAAGGATGAAGGGAAAACAAAAGGGAGGATTATAGTGCAATTTTCATTTAAAGATTTTTAATAATGTTTAGTATATATTATTATGAAGAGGTGGAGATTAACCATGCCATTTCCACCCATTTTACAGCCCACGTTGTCAAGAAGAGAGGAGAGAGTTTGATTACAAATTCAAGCAAAAAGAGGTAGAAAATCAAGGAATTTAAGTTAATTCTTAAGAAAAGGGTTAGTTTATCTTCACTTCCTCCTTCTTTTCTATGGATTAATTTTTGAATTCATGAACTTTGAAGTGAGGGCTTGCTTGTCATTCTGATTTGGGTGAAGATGAAGTGATTTAGAATTAGTTTAAGGTGTGATTTAAGAAGATTGAACTAGTTATGCATGAATTCCAAAGTTCTAATTTAGCAATAATTCACCCAAGATGGATGAAATTTTGAGTTGTATCTGATATGCCATGACCTAGGAGATTCTGATATATCTTATTTATGATGTTATTGTAAAGTAATAGAGGGGTTGATGGCATGAATTGTGTGGAATGATTGAGGAATGCTTAAGTAAACATATCATTGTTGGACCTGCATTGTTGGACCTGTTACAGTTGGGCTGTCTGAACTTCAGCTTCTGTAATTGACCTGTTTGACTAAGCAAATGAACTCCAAAATTCATGAAATTTTGTATGGAGATAGGCTGAGATGTTGGGTAGGTCTTTTTAAAAGGGAAAGGCCATTGGATAAAAGGAAATGGAGTTATAATTAAATCAATGCAGGCTGCTCAGCATGACAAAAACTGAAATTCAGATTCCATAATTATGTCATTTGAAAATGCAAATGAGCTTTAAAAATTATGAAATTTTACAGGGAAGTACTCTAAGATGTTGGGAACATGCTGTAAAAATTAATGAAAATGAGGGAAATTGAGATATTAGCCAACGGAATACAAAGCTTGGCTCATATGCTGAAATTCTGCATTTCATAACCATTGAATGAATAGCATGCCATTGACTTCTATTGTTTAATTATGAGTAGTATGTGTTCTAGGTATGTGTCTAGGATGTGGTTAAGTGTTGGATATGAAGTGTTTCATGCTTAAACTAAGGTCATATGACACTTGGACAAGCATAGTGAAAATGAAAGATAAAGCATGACACAACATTCTAATGCTTAATTTGCATCCCTATAGAAGCGCATGTGTGTATATTGTGTAGTATGAAGTTAATATGAGTATTAATCTCATGCTATAGCTTCTGAGAGAAAGGGAGTTGAGGAGAGGGCAGTTGCTAGAGGAAAAAGGCTAGGGGAGCCTTCTAGCTCAGGTTAGTGTACTATGCCTTTCCTACTTTTATTTAAACAAAATGATATTGATTTTGCAAATCAATGGGATTACTTTATGAAAATCATAATTAATGATTCATAAGTTTTTTAAAGAACAAGCTTATTTTGAAAGCATATACCTAATAACATATGTGTAAATAATTTTATTACTTCTTATACCTTACGAAAGAGGAGGAATTGTTGCCAATTGATAACTGTAGTATGAGGGTGGCCTGATGAATGATTTAGTAGTGTTTGCGAAATGGAAATGTTGCCCACAGTGATTTTAATATTATTACATGAATGGAATGGTTTAAAAGTCTTACAGCTGGATATAGACATTTGGTTTATTGCCCCGGAATATCACTTCATTTGTTGAAGTGATATTACGATCGAAGTTGAACATGGATATTTCATCCACTAAGATGATATTATGATTGATATGATGAAAATTCTCCCTTCCATGTTGAGGTTGTAGATTGCTCCCTCTTCTGTTGAAACATAGCATAGATATAAGGTTGTAGGATAGCAGGTCTAGATGTGCACATTAGACACTGATGGCCCTCGGAATTTGATTCTATTAAGCTGTTAAAGAACTACATTATTGGAATTTATGATTTAATGGTATTGTTTTTTTTTTTTCTTATTTCCTTTAAGCATGGTGGGTTTATGATTTATGATTCATTATTTCATATAAAGAGTTTGATTTGATAAATTTATGGTTTATTGTATAATAGACACCACTAAGCAAAATGCTTAGCGATAGTTGCTTTGGCTATCGCAGGAAAAGGCAAGGAAAAAGAACTAGGAAGGAAGAATCGTTTTGTTTGAATGTAGATAGTATTGCTACTGATGTAGCCTATTGTTATATTTGACCTCTTTGGAATTGTTATGATTGTATTAAACATTAACAGAACTCTATTTATATTTGAGCAGTACATGTAAATTATAGATTGTATGAATTTCTATTATGTACTAAGCGTTTGAAAAATTTGATTTCAATATGTAATTTAAACCATCCATCGGGCTTATGGGTTATGGAACCATTTTATGTTTTTGCCTAATAATAATTGATGTTTAGGAAATCATATTGAGCTAATGGAAGTTATGTTTCATATGTTTAGTAAATTACAAATTAAATAATAAAAAAAAAAAGACATTCCTTTGATAACCGGATAAAAAAGAAACCAAAAGGAGTTTTACATTTTAATAATTAAAATCTACTTTTCTACAAGATATAAATGAATGAATTTCAACAGTATTAAGGTCCTTGTTGTAGTATACTTAGTAAGCAATTTATAAGGTTAAGTGCTTATTAAGTATATTACGGGCGACATGCCATATCTTAACAGTAAGGTAAAGGTGTGACAGAAAACCCATCCAACCGGTTGTCATTGAGATTGCCGCTGATCAGCTTCGCAATACACCATCACTAATCAGGAAAAGGCATCACTAATCAGGAAAAGGATTAACTCGATCAGCTTCGCAATACACCATCACTAATCGAGAAAACGATCCAAACAGCTTCGTAATACACCATCACTGCTCGGTGGGCCCCAAACGATTTTGTGAAATCATCACCGGTTGACCTGAAAATATTTTCAAAAGGAAAGAACAATTTCTGTATACAAACAGATCTTGCCTTTGTTAAATGTTGGAGCATCACTTGCCCCCATGCATTGATAATCATAAACTTTGAAATTTTGCACCCGGGCAAAAGATTTTACTTTTGCCCCCCAGTCCGGAATACTGACTCGGGACCAAAAATATGATCTTTTAAGTAAACCTTGAAAATTTTATATTATTATTATTTTTTTATTGCAAAATTTGTTTAAAATTTTAGCAAAAATTTAGGCAAAAAAAATTTTTAGTCCTAAATTTTCAAGTATACCCTTCCTGATGCGGTGTTCGAAAGAAAACTTACCTGAGGGTAATTTGGGTAGTT